ATATATAGTTGCACTACGACTTTTAAAAAAAGATGCTTGATATATAATATATACTAAGTTATGAAAAATAAATTCTTTTAGGTACGAATGCTTCCCCGATATTAAGCAAGCCTGGCATAACATCTCCGAATCATCATAATCCAAATTTATTAAAAAAGGATCGAAGACGGTCACATGCACATCCTTCTATGAATATATCTTTTCAGGTTACAATCTACAACTAATTTTTTATTATTTTTATTTTTTAAATAAACTTTCACAAAGATAATTTATATGTAAATTTTTCTCTCTCTCTCTCTCACAGTAAATTTATATGTGATGATGTAAATGTTGACATATAATATTAATGAAATATTTTTCATAGTTCTTTTAAATATAAACAAAATAATAGAGAAAGATGCAAAATATTTATATTTATAATTATTATTATTTATATTTAGAATGCAGATTCTAGTTCAAATACCTCGAGCTGTAACAGCTCAACGCCTTCTAGTCCAGCATTGCTACCTGCCAATACTAGCCAGACTCCACAGGCGCCTGTCAAACAACAGTTCCATTTTCCAGGTAGAGAAAAAAAGCATTTATGGTTTGTGGCTTTAGACCGAACGCGTTACTTATTTTGCTTCCAGATGTACTGAATGAAAAAGGAGTGACACACGAAACGCACAGATTTGACAGTACGACTATGTCAAGTGATAGTGACAGAACAGTAAGCGTTTCCGGATCTGGTAGCGTCAGTACAGATTCAGAAAGGACACCGGTTAGAGTTGATTCTCAGGATTCTCAAGTTTCCGATAGCGAAATACCTGGGGACATAAGTCGTTGGCCTCGACAGAATAGTGTATGTGTGATACTTTTTACCAAAAAAGGAATCATGGCAAAAAGATGTCTAATATGAATAAATTTTATTTTATATCTTGTATATTTTTTTAATCGCAGTTGTCGATGCGAGAGTGGGACATTCCATATGATGAATTAAAGATTGGAGAAGCAATCGGAACGGGAAGGTTTGGTACAGTATATAGAGGCAATTGGCATGGAGATGTTGCAATTAAAGTCATAAATATGGATTATTATTTAGACAATGATAAGATATTAGAAGCATTCAAATTAGAGGTAAGAAAATATAAATAAATATATATATTTCCCAGTTACAATTAAATTCGGAAATTGGTAATGATCGGAAATATTTTATCTTATTATAGGTAGGCACATTCCGAAAAACACGACATGAAAATCTAGTTTTATTTATGGGAGCTTGTATGAAACCTCCTCGATTAGCTATAGTGACTAGTATGAGTAAAGGCATGACACTTTATACTCATATTCACTTACGAAAGGACAAATTTAATACGAATAAAACTACTATTATAGCTCAACAGATTTCTCAGGTACATATTATTTATATGAGCATTTTTTAGGTCATTATATATTTATTTTTATGCATATAATTATGCTAGCATTTGAATAAATATAATATTAAAGGGATATTAAAAATATGTAAATATATGTAACAAAATTTAATTAATAATAATAATAATAATTCTTTCGTTATTATATAATATATTCAAGCATTAATTTTATCTTATAGGGTATGGGATATCTCCATGCTCGTGGTATAGTACACAAGGATCTTAAGAGCAAAAATATATTTTTAGAAAATGGAAAAGTTGTAATAACAGACTTTGGTCTGTTCAGTGTTACAAAGTTGTGCTATGGAAATAGGTAAATTTATATCTTGTAGAATAAAATTTATTCTTACTAGATAAGATATTTTACGTTATGCTCCTTTGAAATACAAGCTCATTTCATATATATGTATTTAGGAAAGGAAATGGACTGAATATACCACCTGGTTGGTTATGTTACTTAGCACCTGAGATTGTTCGACGACTGAGACCGCAACAAAACCGAGATCAGGAAGAGTTACCATTTACAGCTGCTTCTGATGTTTATGCATTTGGGTTAGTATATTTTCTTTTACGATATTTAATTATACTATTCTGAGTATATATATGCTTTGAAAATTTTGAAACAATATATTTAAACATTTCTGGTGCCCTTTATTTGTGATAAAATATTCATTGGTGTAATCATATATTTTATCTTGTAACTAACAAGTTTTCAATTTAGAAAAATATATTATAATGGATATACTATATAGCTAAAGTATAGCAACTGTGTAAATATAAAGCAATAACAATAAGATTATTTAAAAAGATATTTTCCGATAGGACTGTCTGGTATGAATTATTATGTGGTGAATGGCCATTTAAAGGTCAACCTCCTGAAGCTATTATTTGGCAAGTGGGGAAAGGAATGAAGCAACCTTTAGCAAATTTGCAAGCTTCTCGTGATGTAAAGGTACATACATGTTTAAAATGTGTATATCTGTATATTACAGAATTAAGTATCATTATGTTACAAATTCTGTGCATTATTTGCAAAAATTGTAGAAATTTTATAATCTTTTTTAGGACATTTTGATGCATTGTTGGTCATACCATGCAGAGAAACGTCCTGATTTTGCAAAGCTATTAACTACACTCGAAAAGCTGCCTCGCAAAAGGTTAGCACGTAGTCCCTCTCATCCTATACATCTTTCTCGTTCTGCAGAATCTGTGTTTTGAACATTTAAGTCTATTTAAATACGCTGTTGTTCTTGTAGTGTAAATATAGAACTGTGCAAATATTGCCAGATCTTTGTTCGTGAAGAGTAAAATAAAAGTCACTGAAAGGGTTTGCTCTCGTTTGTATTATTAATTTATTAAAATGTGCAATGAAAGAATATTGATGTTAATAATTGAGATTGTTAATAAATTGTTTCAAATTAAATATGTATCTTTTATTGTGGATAGAGTCACAATATTAAAAAAAGAAGTCGTAGGAGAGTATACACATTTATATATATAATTTATACTTAAATGTATGTAAATCTACAGATCACTAAAATTTCCAAAAATTCTATAGACTTGTTAACAAATATATAATTTTCAACAAACTTTTCATCTATATATTCTACGAGATAGTTCTTCAGTGCACGTTTTAAGAAATATAGGTTCAACTCTTTATTTTTTCTCAGGTAATATTGTAAATATACTTTATTGAGAATAGTGTTGTTAGGCGATAGATAATTTATTTTAAATAAATTCTATATTATAAATATATATATAGAGACAGGAGAGAATTGTCAGATGAATGTCTTTAAATTTAGTAATAATATAATAATTTTTCTCTCAAATATATAAAAAATAATATATAATTCTACATTATTCAAACCATAGTGTACATTGAGATCATTTGTCCCAAATATTTCTTTCATATTTATGATGCATTTCAAAATCTCTCTCTGCAGAAATCTTGGACATTAGTTTTAACAAATTAATCATTATAGACATAAAAAGTATCTAAATATTTCTTAGTATTATTGTTTGTGTGTATGGATAATTGTGATAAGAGTGTATATGTTTTGTTTCTGATTTTTTTTTTAATGTGGTTTTCAAAATTTTTCTCTTCCCATTCTCAGAAAAAAAGCTACAAGCTGGAAGAACTGTTTTACAATATATATAAATTTTTTGTATATATGTATATACATATATTTATAGATAGTTTAATTTGTTATCAATGTTTTTTTTCTTTATTTAGTATTATATTTTATAAATACTATTAATAACGATAAATATTTATTAGTTGTTTAAATAAGTAAAGAAATAGAAATAACCAGAAAGTATATACATTGTATACAATGAAATGCTTATTGATATATTGTATTGCTTTCAATAGCGAAAAAAATTTGTCTTATTTTAATAGTAACTTAAAAAAAATTATATGTCGATTGTCACACACAGTTCCTTAAATCTATTAACATTAATGTCAAACTATTCAAATATATAACTATATTTTCAGTTTAGTAAATACTTATATCTTTATTTGAAATCTTATTTTTATTACTTAACATAATTTGTTGATGAACAGATTATTCATACTCACAAATAAATTGTTATTTATATCACAAGAGATTTAAACTCTCTTATATTATATATATACTTTCTCTTTTTAAAAATTTTTTATCTGTTACATATTTTCTGTAACTCCTGTAATTGTCTTTTAAGATGCGTAGCACGCAATTTATTCAATGCTATTCTCTTTTCAAATGTTTGTACCAAAGGCTTTGTAATAATATCTGTTATGTGAACCAACGCCCGTGTCCTGACTGTAAAGGAAAATTGTCTATATTCCTTGATTTGTTACTCTTACTTTCGTAAATATTAGATAAAAGTTGTTACTTAAATAAATTATTTATTAATCTAAACACACATTATCCTTTTTACTACAATATTTTATATTTTAATATAAAATAAACAGAATGGTACATACCAGCATTATTATGAATACTGGCAAGGACATCTGGATGATCTTTACAGGCTTCAGCCATATCTTCTTCTTCTTGTACCAAAATTTTTGACAGGTCTGTCATTGTCTGCAACAATATTTATGTTCAGGTAGAAGGCACAGTTTTTTTAGCACACTCTAAATTTTTTTAATACAAAGAAGTAAAATCTTACTCTCAAACATCTATCCGAAATATCTGGAGTATGTACTATCTCTAATGGTATTTCTGTAGCTTCACCATTATCTGATTGAAAGCAATTTAAAAAGATCTCATGTTCCTATAAAACGAAAAAGATCACTATTATACATATATACATACTATTATACATATTTATCATTATAATTTATCTATGTCAACAACTATTAACTATTAACTAATATTATACAGGCCATCATTTGTCTCTCATATATATATAAACTTAAAAATTCTAAAATACCGCCCAATTATTTATAATATAACAATTGACTATTAAATAAAATTAGATGAATATCTTTTCCAGCAATATGGGCCATTTAAGAGCAATGTGTATGTTTTATATATGTTGATATATGAAATATTAAGATAAGAAAAGTATATATACCTTTGATTCTTTCCCCTCTGAAAATACTGAAAATATTAAGCCTACGAAACTATGATCCATTGTTTGATAAGTAGCTTGAGTTCTGACATCTGCAAAATAAAAGTGATGAATATAATGTAAGAATTTTTTTTGTATATTATTTAAACATTTTGACAAAAGAAATATTTTTGATACACACCGACATGTGACGGACAAACTGTAATATGTGGATGTGAATGATACCAGCCGAGAACGCGCATAGGTCGATTTAATTCCACTGTTAATCGCTCGGCTTCAGCAGCAGCTTTCAGTAATTGCTCGGAAGAAATTTCTACCCTGTCTTTCTTTTTGTCCAGACGTCGTAAAATGATAACAGCTGATATTTTTGCTATTCCACATGCAAACTAAAACATGAGTGATTAATGCTCTACTTGTCGCATTAATTAAAAAAGTTTGAGAAAAAAAAATTAAGTATAAAATATTAAAAAATCCAACATACATTGCCAATAAGTAAACCCATCACTTCAAAGTTTTCTGTTGATAAAGCATGTTGCAAACACACCATATAGACGTCTGTTTGCAGCTCCACTTTTTGCAATCGAGAATCATCCATTGTTTATATAAAAGTATATATAAATCCTGCGAAAATAATACAGATGCAAACTTAAAGTTTGCAATTACTAAATTTAATTATTGCATTTAATACACACATATTTACTTTATATAAAAAAATATATATATATATATACAAATTTTGCAAAAATATTTTATTTTATATTGTAGACACTTTATTAGGTTAATGAGGTAAAACAATATAATTTCAAAACAATGACGAATGATAAATTAATAATTTCATCTAAATTCTATAAATTATCCTCTTTCACGATAGAAAAATCTAACATTACATATCTCACGTATATATGTACATACAAAACTGATTTATTAAGGAAGCATAACCTCTCTTCTAAATTGACGCCCACATATCGGCTATTTTTTCATTGGATTATTGAATACATATTTTTTGAGAGTCATTCTTTTATTCCATTTTTGGATTAGTATTATTAAACGTATATTAAGTATGTACTTTACCTGTTCACACTGATACTCTGTGAAGTCGAATATAGAAATTTCCTCTCCGTCGAGAATCGTTTTCTCGATTCAATAAATTTTTAGATCTTCTTCGTTTTGGTTTGACTCTCGCCAAAAATAATCGCATCTACCGTAACTTAATTATTTAATGCAGCTATTTAGCGCGCAGCGTTGAGTCGCGATTAATCAGCAATTTACAACAAATTTGTGAACGAAACTAATTTTCTTTTATTGTTCGCTAAAAGCGAATTCGAAAAGTGCGAATTTTCAAAAGCGAATTCTTCTCTCGCGGATAAATAAACGGGCTTCGTATTTACTATGTGCGGGATGCAATGAATAAGAACTCTCTTGTTGACAAATCAATGCTTATTAATTCAAGTGCACCGATTTTATCTGTCGTTTGTATCGCTAGATACACATAATAGTTATATGCTGTCGCAATTTGTCGCAGCGGCGTTTCATGTATGTATTTTATTACGCGCGACACACACAGGAATGGAGAATATTTAGCGCACATCCAGTGTATACGTGTACTCGTATTGATGCATACATATATATACCCCGTATATATTTCTGATTGCTTTCGATCCCACTTTGGAGTTCAATTAAAGGTGGTGTGATGCGCGTGGTGTGATGCTCGAAAGATGTCTGTGATCAGTTTTTTGTCATCTTATAGCAAGGTAACGTCAATAAGTTTATGCGAGGTTATGCCGAGTGTTACGAGGACTTATATCAGCTATCGTTAAATAATTTGAAAACTTGCAAATTATATATTATTCGTGACGCAGATAACGACGGGAATGTCAAGGATTTTGTCGCGTCATGGTAGACGATAAAGCGTCAATTACCACGGAAACCAAGTATCGTATGGTAAATGTGGATCGGGACGATAACTCGAGGAAGACGCGCGTAAAAGCAACGATGCCTTCGGAATTGAGATCAATCAGCGCGAGTGACTGGATCACAGTCATCGTTCTCTGTTTCGTAAATCTTATAAATTATATGGACCGTTTTACGGTCGCCGGTGAGTCTTGCTTTACGAACTCATTGGGATTAATGGAGATATTGAAGAAATTTTGTTATTTAACGAAATATTGTATAAACATGAATGTAATGTTATTTTTTTAATATATATATATATATTATATTTATAATATATATTTGCAAGCAAAGTCACAATCTTTTGCTATAGGGGTACTGACTGACATCAAGAAGGATTTTGATATTGGTAACGATTTGTCTGGACTATTACAAACTGCATTTATCTTGAGCTACATGGTGTTCGCACCATTATTTGGATACCTGGGAGATCGCTATAGTAGAAAATTGATAATGAGCGGTGGTGTATTCCTATGGTGCTTAACGACATTTATTGGTTCATTTATGAAGGTAAATACAATTTCTTCTATATAAAGTGAATTTCATATAAGACAATATTTTATATATAATACAATACTTTTAATTTATTTCAGAGATATGGATGGTTCCTATTCTTTAGAGCTCTTGTTGGTATAGGAGAAGCGAGTTATTCTACAATTGCACCAACAATAATTAGTGATTTATTTGTGAAAGATGTACGTTCCAAAATGCTTGCCCTATTTTACTTCGCTATTCCAGTTGGAAGGTACATTGGTTGTATACAATTAGAGTATATACATTATGTAATTATGTGCATATGTATTTATGTGTACATAAATTTTTTATTCTAGTGGTTTGGGGTATATCACAGGAGGTGAAACAGCTCGTATCACTGGTAACTGGCAATGGGGGTTACGCATTACTCCTATATTAGGTATTGTAGCAATTCTACTGTTACTTACTGTAGTCAGAGATCCTATTAGAGGTGAACGAGAAGGTGGCGTTCATTTGACAACTACCACATGGTCGTACGACATCAAGGAGTTATTGAAAAAGTAATTAGCTGTATATATTTTTGTTATTAGAGAACTATGATTAATTATCATTGGTCTTTTTGTTTACTAATACTTTTCTATTATAAAGCAATGATTTATATTATGTCAATTGCTTTATCTATTGTTCTGTCATTTATTGTTCAGATAAAACAGAACAAATTTTATATTAATTTATCATAATTTATAGTTAATACTAAATTTGTTATATTGGCATATAATATATATTTTTTTAGTCCAAGCTTTATGCTGTCTACTGCAGGATTTACTTGTGTGGCATTTGTCACTGGTGCTCTGGCATGGTGGGCGCCGACATATTTACAATATGGTTTTAAATTACTTCCTTATAATGTGAATATCGATGCAGACGAGTACGTTAAAATTCATTGTAATAATATGTGATAATAGAAGATTGATATATAACAAGAGAATGTGTCTTAAAAATACTACATAAATGTATCTTAATGTTTTAGCGTTGCATATAAGTTTGGATTAATTGGTATGGCATCTGGTCTAATAGGTGTACCATTAGGTTCTACTATAGCACAAAAATTACGAGTCTATTGGCAACAAGCTGATCCTCTAATATGTGCTATAGGTCTTCTAATAAGCGCTCCTTTTTTATTCTTTGCTATGATTACTGCCAATACAAACTCTACTCTCTGTTACATATTAATATTCTTTGGTCAATTGTCATTAAATTTGAATTGGTCCATCGTAGCAGATATGTTATTGGTAAGAACTTGAAAAAAAAAAGAATAATTGCTTTTTCTATTATTTTTTAGTTATATTTTAATAAATAATTTAATAGATCTTTTATATATATTATATTTTTTTACAGTATGTAGTAATTCCTACAAGGAGATCTACGGCAGAGGCATTCCAAATTCTTATAGCACATGCTCTTGGAGATGCAGGAAGTCCTTATCTTATTGGACTTGTATGTAGAAATAATTTCACATTATTAATTAAAAATTAAATAATTAGATTCATTAAAATATATTATAGATACGTAATTTTTTATTTTTGTTTTAGATATCAGAAGGATTAAAGTCCACTCTCTTACCAGATTTAGGTATAGGAGGACAATCTGCTGTTCATGACAATCAAAACATCATCGAGTTTCGTAGTCTACAATATGCAATGTTTCTTACAATGTTTGTAGAAGTACTTGGTGCTCTGTTTTTCTTCCTGACAGCATTACATATACAAAAAGATAAAGCATTGGTCGATCTTGCTATTGCAGGTAAGTAAAAGATTGTGACTTAACACTAGTTAGGACAAAAGTGATATTTAAACAATGCACTTTGTTTTGCATGTCCACATTGAAATTATTACTAATACAGCTTGATATATGTTTTACACATACACACACACCATGTTAAAAACAATGTAAATGTCATATAAAACTATTTTTTATCTGTAAAACACATTAGCGCAAGTGTAATTTTTTCTAGGGTAATTTTTTAAAATATTTAATGTTGATCTATAAACACATAATTACTATTATTAAATAAAATATCGGGCTAGAATATTCACACATACGATTCACAATATAATTCGGTAAGTGCAATACACACATATACATATATGTAATTGAAATATTGAGCAATCTAAGATGTATTACTTGTTGACATCATTATCATATATAATGATGATGTATTAATAAATTAACATATATTCACATGCATATATAATAAATACATATACATAATATACATAATGTATATTACCCCTATATAGTATATTCTGGTTGGAATGTGAAATAAAAATTTGCAGTTCTACTAAAACATTCTATTTTTATACAGTACATGAATTGTTCTCAACTTTGGACTTACAAGCACAAGTTTTGGGATCAAAAAGAAGGTAGTATGCAAAATTGCCATATCATTTAACACGTTAAGCGCCAAAAATTCTTATTTATTATATATTAAAATATATTGTGCAATAATAAAAAATAAAAAATTAGTTTTAAAAAAGATATATTTCGAATATTTACAAAATATATATATATACGTGAAGTAGTCTATACGATTGCAAGAGAGAGAAAGAGAGAGATGATAATTGAAAGAACATTTTTATTTAATTATATATTTTATTTTTATATCATTACATTTATTTTTAATAATTAACAAAATTATCAAGTATATTGAGTTAATTAATAATTAGCAAAATTTATTAAATGTATAAATATTTTTATATTTGTTTTCTAGAAACAATAAAAAGCTTCTAAACATGACTCTTCGCATCTTTATGTATCATTTTTCTTTTTAATTTTATATATATTTAACATCGTGGCGCTTAACTTGTTAAAACTCAAGATTATTTACATTAATTTTTTTACTAATGTGATCAATTGTATTCTACATGCAATCACTAATCTTCTGATCATTTATTACACAGTTTGAAATCTTTATTTTATATTCCAACATTTTTAGAATGGAATAACATTTATATATTCATACATTAAATCTGCTTTAATATTAGAAATATGTAATGTCCATGAAAAAGATGGTTTAATAATATTTTATCATGAATATCCCTATTTATATTCGTGATATTAACCTACTAAAAATGGTGCTTAACGTGTTAAGGAATGCAAATTAAAGATATTAATATGAATAATAATTTTAGCAAATAACATAATTAAATTTGTAACGTATGTGCGCGCGTGATTGATATGACGTTTTGCAGATATTATATGTAATTCTTTCCATATTTTCTATTATTTTTTTAATATGCACTTCTTATATATAGTTCCATACATGAATCATTGCATTTATTGATATCTATAATAAAAATTATTCACAAATTCTAATAATCGCGGGCTAGTAAGAGCCAGAACGCGGATGGCAGTGCGTCAGTTTCATAGAAAAATAAGTTTTCTATGAAACTGAATATGTCACGAAATTTACTTGGTGTATACCAAGATTTTTTTAAAAATTAATCTCAATTCGAGATTTACAATAATCAAAATAAACAATAATAAAAATTATTGTATTGCAATTGTCTTATTACATACACAACTTATAATTATATTTTTTTTATTATTTTAGATTTATTTATTTTTATAATTTTTCGATTTATATATGAATGATTGAGACGTTCTACATATATCTTTTATAAAAGATATAAAGCCTAATGTCCTTTATCCTGAAGTCTTTTTTACTTTAAAATATATAAAAAGTTATCATAATATTTACAAAAATACATTTTGTATAAAATTTTCTTATTTAAAATTTGAAAGTTAAAATTTGAAATATATTATGTGTTGAATTTTTAAATTTTCTCTTGTACTATACATTTAGTAGATATTCTATACATTTTGGTATTAAATTATTGAAATATTTTTCAAAAACGGGCTTAATTTATTGTAGGCAGTACATGGTCTAGTATGGAATGTGCACGTAGTTATTGTTATATAACATACAAACATCTTTCTTGCAGACAAATTTCTAGATACTAAGAATAATGGGCAAGCTGAATCAACGCATTTATAGATCATCACTGGGCCTCACCTGATAGTGTGCTGTGTATCTGGTACATAATTTATTTTCATGATTTCATTGTTTTTTTTTATTTAATTGGTAATCAATTTAATCGAATATGACTCTTTGTATAAATAAAACAGCCTCCTATTCTATATCTAACTTACTATACTTGTATATATACATATACATACTTATGTTTATTTAAATATTTCAAAAAAACAAAATTTAAAAATCATTTATTTATTTTTTTATATATTTATATTATATAAAGACAATCACAGTACATAAAAAAAGTGATGCTTAATACATATGATATAATACACACAAATTATATATACATATTATATTTTTATATCATATACATGATTGAGAGTTGTTATTTTTATTTTTAATTCTTAAAGATCTTAATTTTTGTGATATATGTAATGTTTGTGATGTGTGTGACAATATCAATATCTATTCAATTGTTAAATTTCCGCGCACGCGAAGAAAATTTAATTTATTTAAAAAAATATACGTTGATTGATTTTATAACAAAATTTACGTCATTTATTTGATTAAATAATTAAATTGATTATCAATTATACCATTTCATTATTTTTATTATTTCACATTTTACAATGGGGTTTATAAATAAATAAAAATTATAATTTTTAGTTTAATTCTTTTGATATTCTTTTTTCATAAATAATATGTTGAAAATTATTTCTAAAAAAATATTTATTTTTTTCTCTTGTGATTTATCTTGGTAAGGATGCATGAGGATGCTTTTAAATTTAGAAATATAAAGCTTTTTTCCCCTACTTACACTATTTTGGTTCCATATTTTGCCCATGGATGTCATAAATGGGAAAAATAATACATTAAGCAATTTCAAATTTGGTTATATTTAGACACTTTCAACAATTGAAAAAAATGATATAAAGAAAAATAATATAAAAATAATATTATTCTTTCAATAAGAAATTATAATGAAATTAAGATAATATATACTTGATATTCCTATCAGACTTGATATTCCTCTATTATTAGGATTGATATTAACATTCGGATCAGCATTAAAATTGGTTTACTTTTACAAATGCAAATAAAATCGTGATTAAATTTAATATATTGAAGTGATATCACATCCTTTAAACTGATGAAGCTTGCCTACAATTTCTGTATGTAACATGACTAGGTGTAAGACTTTGTGTTGTGTATGTGTGGATACAGTATAATATTGCATGTATATTTTTAAAGAATTAGATATATTGCAATCAACATTGCAAAGAACGTACAATTGTGATTAATGCAATTTAATTATATGATTTGTCCTTTTAGATAGTTAAATTATATAATTTCATCTATATGTTTGTATTTCTGTCTGTATGGTTTTGCTTTAGAAAATTAACGGTATAAATTAATACATCTATACTGATACAGATAGAAAACTGAATAGATGGAATTTCAAAATATTCTGCACAATTTATGTTTGATGTTGTATAAGATTATTGTCGCTATAATATTTTTATCACAACAAATGAGTTTTAGCATTCTTAAAACCGTAATAAATGCTTTGTTTTTAGAATATTGCTTATATCTGTGGTTTTTTTTATTAATGGACATATATTTGTTGCATGTGTATGTTTTATTTTATTCTGTTATATTTTATAAATTTCATAGGTCCTTATACAGAAACGAAAATTTTTTCCACGTTTAATGTTATTGCTTTTTGAATGCTACTTGTTGGTGGGGTAATATACTTCATGTAGGAATTAATTAATGTATTACATAGGACAAGTTTTTCTAACGAAAAATGAGATTTTAACAATACCACATATATTTAACATTTGTAAATATATATATATATTCATATGTAAATTATCAGTATACTATTTACACCTGCCGAGATTTATCTGTGTGACTGGATCTATATATTAATATGTAAAAGATATGTTCAAATAGCTTTTTTATATTATTTTCAGGTGGAAGTATTTCAGACTCAGTATGTATTTGCAACGACGCAGTTGACAGTGAATTACAAAATGATAGAAATACGATATTAGAATATAATAGGCATTACGAGGAACCGTCTCATATATAGGTCTTGTAGAATCTTAATACTTTAGATAAGTTATGGTTATTACGAGTGTACAGTATAGTTCTATCAAACATAGATATCGATTTGGTTTTATAAAACAAGATGTCATATATGACACAAAAATATATGTTCTGTATACAGAACGTATCTGAAGAAAATCTCCATATAATGATAATGAGTATCCTCAGAGAGCTAGTTGTGCAAGTTACCACCATTAATAGTGTACAAAACATTCGATTCGCAAACAATGAAACTCTTAGGATGTGAATGAAACGCCGCCTTTATAAATTGTACAATATTTTTAAATATTATATTTTTATAATCGCTCATTGCAAATTCATATTTGTAGCATATTACTGAAATCATCAGATAATAGATGCAAATTATATGAATGATAATACAATTAATACAATAAGACTATATTACTGAAATCATTATATGTATAATAGATGCAATTATAACATAGTATTACTGAAATAATCACATAATAGATTCAAATTGTATGAATGATAATACAATTAATACAATAAGGCTGTATTAGTAAATAATTTGCATATAAGATGTGTAAGTATTTTCTGATTAAATTATATCAGTAACATTCACACTGCTTCGGTATTAAACTATAAAAATACTCACAGTTGTGTGGTTCTTTATAAAAAAACATTGTTATGAATTGTATTCTATAAAACTAATATAAAAAATTAATTAATATATATTACTATTAAGTTTGCCAATTTAACTAAGCCAGAGGTAAATGTAGATAGACATTTCGATAATTATAAATATGAATATGACTATATTTTATCTTGGAACGTTGGGATATTTTTCAACTTTTTTTGAAAACAATACATACAGTTGTAATAACATGCAATCAACTGAATTTAAAAGGTCTATTATAATTGTTGTTATAGATTAATCTCAGAATTAAAAAATATCCTCTTCTTCCAATAATATAAAAATATTAAATAGATATAGCTTTTTTGCACAATAGATTCTTTTAAAATATTTATCATTCTATATATGGATTCTCTTTTTCTTTTAATATTTATAATATATATATTTTTTCTGTATAATGCTTATTAGAAATATTTATAACTCACAAACGGAAATTTAATTTTCTATTATATGAAATGTACTTTATAGGATAATATTAAAAGTTGAATATATAGATTTCTATCTATAAAATATATATCTTGTATTATTGTATAATTAAATCTTTATATCTGTACACTTATATAAAAAGAAAGTAAGCATAAAATTATTGTAAAATTGATTAATCAGGCAAGATTATTAAATCGATTAACTCCAAGTTAGAGAATTATAAAATACTTTATCACAAAATAGATGCAGCTGAAAAACTATAATTGTATTGTGTGAGCTTTTATTTAAATCTGTATTTAACAATATTCAATTAAGTAAAATGTATGAGATAACAATATAAACAAATGTATTTGCACAAATGCTTTCGCATAACATGTATAAAAAATAGTGCAGTACTTATATGTATAAAATATATATATAATAAGTAGAAACCGCAGATCATTACAGATCATAACAGATTACAAAATTAATCTACATTTAATTGTTTTAATTATAAGAAAGAAACTTCATTACATTTATGTATTACGCAAATAAATCTGTTTGTACATAATCGTCCACAGTAATATATATATGTATATATCTCTTTTATTTAGAGATGATCTTTCTTTAGTGCAATTATTTCTTTTGTTAAAATCAGGATTTTATAGAACAAATTCTCTATATACATATAATAAATTTCTTTTAATTTAATTTTTTATAAATTTTTCATAAAAATCTTTATTTTTGAATGTTTATTTGCTACATGAATATTTTTGCCTAATTCTGCGAATAGTATATTATAAATACTTTTGATCGTTTTCTTATATCACTCTGTATACGTAAAATACGCCGCAGCATCGTGTAACGCATATATATAGATCGCGTTGCGTCACAAGTAAGCGGGCGAAACTGGTATTTTTAATGGGAAGTCGAAGACAGGCTGAATAGAGTGAGTTATCGGAGAGGGAAGCGACACTCGGTTTCTTTGATCAATAATGAAACTTCTCTTCGCCTTCCTCACTGTCTCTCCCCATTTTCCTCCTCTCTTTCTTTTTCACATTGTGCCTTTTTTTCCACGGGGGTCTGTCGCTCGATCCCCCGCTTTCTCACCCCCTGCGCACTCTTACGCGGTCTCTTGTTCACCCCTTTCCATCTCCATCTTGTCGCTCTGTCTTATCTTATACATTTTTAACCCTTATTTCGGCCCCCGCGTAGACGAGGAGGAAAGCTCAAAGCGAGAGCCAAGTTTTAACAACCCTTAAAGTGTACCCCCAAGGCCGCTGGTCCTCTTTCCTCTAGATAATCCACTCGGCGATTCGTTCGCGCGTGAGCCTCTATGCAAAAAGACTTGGTAGCATGCATTCTTCAAAGAGCAGCTTCGAATCCACGAGGAATTTGGGTTTTCCGCAAGAAAGTTCCTTGGGAGTCAATAAGATAGTTGATTTCGCGTTTGAGGTACATCAAATTGATCGAAAAAGAGAACAAATTAAATTAGAATTAATTTAATTGAAGGTTATTTGACATAATTTTTAAAGTCAATTTATATTTTGTATCAAAAAGCATGATTTTGTTATATTATTTTATTTAATTGAAATGTAATCTCTTAAAACTCCTTTCATCTTTTTACACCTCCGCGTTATATTTTCATAATTTCGTCAAAAAGAAATTGATTTCAAATTGATTAAAAACGTATCTTAATTTTGAAATTGAATGAGAAAAAAATAGGATACTATGTAGATTTTTTAAAATGACAACTTTTGTAAGTTTTTATATTTCTTTTGATGCTTCCTCTTGTTGCAGAATTTCCTATTTATAAGTGTTATAGCATTTATGCAAACGGTTCTATTTTATACATATAAATATTTACATTTAATGGAATATCGGTAGATTTACCAATTAATATTTTTTTCAAAAGATAGTGAACAAAGAAAGTGCCAAAATACAATGATAAATGTAATAGACATAGATAAAATAAAATTAATGCATATTATAAAAATATCTTATAAGTATATCACAGAGAGTATAGAAAATAAAGTGTCAATATTTTGTAATTATGTACATGTACATATATATATATATATTTTTTTGTCTTCCATTTTTCAGACTCGTGACGAGCGAGGCCATCAAACAAGATTGACTTTTCGTCGTTTCTTTGCAGTTATAAATTAATAGAGATAGATAAAATAAAAATAATACAAAGGTTTATGACGAGCAAGGCTATCGAACAAGATCGACTTTTCGTCGTTGCTTGGCAGTATTTCCGAACATCCCCGTGTCCAATAACGGGGACAGCGGAATATGAAGCAACGCTGAGAGGGAGCAGATCGGGGTGAAGCTGGCACAAAGAAAAGCGCGGAGCGTGGGATGAGGAGAGACCGTCGCGGTGCGGGATAATGCTTAACAAGCCGACTTGAAAGGACGTCCGCCATTTTGAGTCAATACTTGAAAGTCTTTGCTCATTAAGAATATTTTACGTCTACCTTCTGCGCGCTACGCGAACGAACGTCGCCGCTGCCCCCCTATAACCCGACGCCATCTCCGCTCTTTCTTTCCACCCCCGCGTTCGGACTTTCTTTTTCTTCTCGTTCTATCTTACCCCCTCGGCTTCAAGAGTTGTTCCTTGCTTCTCTTTCTCCTCATTCTCCATCTCTTTCTCATTTTCCTCCTTCGTCTCCACCAGAGGCGGCTGCACCCTCGAAGATGGAAGTTATTTACGCGGTACTCGGAGCACGCTCCACCGTCGCGACCCCGTAGCCAACCCTCACCCCCGGCATTTCGATTTGGTCTTCCCTTTGCCACGCTAACACGGTGCCCCCGCCTCATCGCCCTCGTCCTCGCCCTCATCGGGCACGCAGCATTTACTGGGTAAGGGAGGGTGGCCAGCGCCAACCCCGCGTCCTCGTTCTCTCGATGAGGGATGGAGAAATCTCCGACTTTGCCATGGGGCCCACCTTCGTGCGCCCTTCCAGCGGCGACGGGTAAACACCGTCCCATCTCGCGGCGTTTTTCCTAATTCCTACCCAATTTCGCTTTTAGCATTTCAATTTCTATCTCCTCTGCCCTCCCCTTCCTCCGATTTCCTCTGCTCACCGCGTCGGGATGACGGATTATCGTCGGACGAGTGAGGAAAGAATTCCGTGGGTGGAATAGATGAGCGAGAATGATAGATGTATGCGATGGATGGATGAATGTTTTTTTTATCACGAATCGAGGATAAGTCTCTTAAGGCCTATGTGATAGCAATATTATTTGTTTTGTTGAAGATACACTTACATCATTCTTGTAAAATTTTTGAAAAAGTTATACGTGATATGGTCATAGGAAAAGATAAACAGACAAGATATTCTTTTACAAAGCACAAATATAGCACAAATGTCTGGATATATAAATTGCTTATAATGTAAGGAATGTGCCAGAGGAAATACTTTGTGTTCAAAACTAATCCACGAGAATATCTGATAAATATATCTATACATAGGATGGGAGATCTGTTATTTATCACAAATTTAGAACAAGTGATTTAAAATCCAGATACCAAAAATTATATTATTAATAATCACTAACCCCCATAGTACTACATTAATGTCCGATAATATATAAATATTAGATATATTACAATTACGAAGTATTTCTAGAAATTGTATATATATATATATATAATCACTCTCTCTGGCAGAGTAAATATTTAGGTACAGACAGAGAAATACTGTAATATGCGAATTATGCTGGCTAGATGCAATATTTATATGCAAATAAATTATATATTTTAAAAAATTACTTGTTTAATAGATTATCATTTTATTAAGAAAGCATATATATATATATATTTCGTTATAAAAAAATCATCATCATTATGACACACATATATTTCATTGTGTTTCATATTCATACGCGTCAACTAATTCACCATGTCCAGGGGACGAAATAATTTTCTCATCACAAAACGCTTCCGCTAGTTACGGCCAATGATTCACATTATGAAACCGTGCCTAGCATTTTTAAATCGTCACGAGGTTTTTTTCGATTTCGTTTCCCCGCGCCGGAAAAACAATGGACCGCGATGTTCCCGCGCGTGAAGACGGGGTTAGAGCGGAGGTAGGGGCGGGCGGAGGCAAAGGGGTGACTGTGAAAATAAATCAGGCGCGTACCGACGCGGCGACGTTTCTCGTTCAATTGTATCAACTTTAACCCCTTCATTGTCTCATTTTTTTCTCGGCTATCGTTCTGCTCTCGCGCCGTTTGACCGGATCCATTCGACCCTCTTCGCTTCTTTCTCCGCAACGCTCGCAGCGAATCGGGTTCGAAGTCTAGCCCGTGCGAACAATCGGCGTGCACAAATGGAACGTTCGAAAGCGCATATAATAAGCCGTAAAGAGACAGAGCGAGAGAGGGAGAGAGAGAGAGAGAGAGAGAAGCAAAGAGAAAGGCAGAATGAAACAAAAACTGGTCTTGCTGTATAAAACAATAGGGGGTTCCTCCGACGGGGATGTGAGAACGAGCGGAAGATCGAAAGAGAGTGACAGGGAGAGGGAATATGCAAGCAGCGAGAGAGAAGAGCCAGCAACCCTATCGCGCGTACTTCGACGTGTGTGAAATTCAAGAACCTGTAACGCCACAAGAAGAACAAAACACACCAAGGTACCAGCTGTGCGGTGCATACGTTATTAATGTGCGTACGCTATGTCCTTCTGAGCTGCATTAGCAGTCTG